GCCGCCCGGCTTGGGCTGCAGAACATCGGGGCCCGGGACCGTTGCGCCGGCCCGGGTGACTGGCACGGCCCCTCGCCGGACCCACCCCGCAGCGCCAGAGTCCTGGCTGCCGCCAGCGTGGAGGGCGGGGACCGCGGCGTCCTAACCCCGAGGCACACCCCGGTGGTCTCGGCTCTGCACTTACAGCCGCGGAACCCAACTTTTTGTCCTGACGCTTCTTGGCCTTTGCTTTCCGGGAGAAACGAGGTTGGAGCCCTGCGTTGAGATGCTCACCGGCTGTGTCGAGTTGAGCATTTCGTTTCCCGAAGCAAGAGACGATGAGAATGTCAGGCGTGTGTAAATTCTCTTCCCACAGATCTAAGTATTTTGATGACTTATTTAATAGCTGTTGAATGTGGATAATAAACTTTGCAAGGTGACTCCGTAACAGCCTACGGATTTTTTTTCCTCCCTCCCTGGTACATTCTCCCACTCTTTCGCCCCTAATTTTTGGTCCATAAGTCTCCAAATCTCACCAAATATATTGATATTATGATTATTATTATTTTGTCTCCTCTTCCTCTGGCGTGTAACCTAGTGAGGATAAAGGCTTTGGGTTTTGTTTTGTTTTGGTTTTGTTTTGGTTTTGTTTTTTTTTGGCTTTTTAACTAGTCGTTTCCCACTGTCTGGAATAGAGCTTTGAAGATTTGAGTAAAAAGAATTGTTTAGAGAAACTGATTGGAATGAGACAGCTGGTAGGAACCAAAAGGCAAATATGGTGTTTTAAATCGAGCCCCATTTGAGTGTTTTTAAAAGTTATTACTAGATACCGTGCTTTTTTCTGTTTGATCTCTTGTAATGTACTTTGCTGAATCCAGATACAGATACTTTTTATTCCTGATTGTGTCACATATGGTTGCAGCCGCTGCTGAGGACATAGTACAGTAGGTGTACTTGAAGAGAAAGTGGGAGAACTAACACGTCACAAGGTGACTAGGTAACCCAAATCTGAGACTTAATTTGCCTGCCCTTGTAAAGGAAGTAAAAATCACCTGTACTGGTCTCCTCGCAGTTCTTGCAATAATCAGATAATAGCAGGGGCCATCTGACAGTGGCAAAGAATTATATGAATGAAAAAGCGCAGGGTTGGGTATGTGGTTCTGTGGTAGAATGCTTATTTGTTAATTATTTATTGGAGATTGAACCCAGGGCCTGGTGCAGGTTGGGCACTGACCTGTACTCCTGTCTCTTGGTGCTTGCTGTCATGTACCATGAGTGAGGTCCTGGGTTCAGTTACCAGCAACATACAATGCTAAACATTTGTAATCTCTGAATTTATTATGTTTGTCTGCTGTAATGTTAAAAATTACATGGTTGGTACATACCTGTAATCCCAGCAATCTGGAGGCTTAGAATTCCTGATTTTAAAGGCATAGTTTAGGGTTCTTAGGATCTGTAGAGCATATTGCAATGCTTTGAAGGAGGTGAAATACCTAGGTCAGAAATTCTGATACTTAGAAATACCATACCTTTGTTGATTGTTACCTAGATGTTAATATTAAATTTTTAAAGTTGCTCCAAAAGAGAGTATTGAAATGGCAAACAGAAAAGGATAGTTTGTACAAGCCACTTGTTTTTTTCTTACCATATGTTAAACTTTTAGGATTTGAAAGCATCATTGTATAGGGAGGGTAGTGATTAGGTGAGTTTTGCTGTTTGACTCTCAGTCATATAGTTACAGAACTACAGTATCTGTGCAGAAATGATAGAGAAGCTGATATTTTACAGAACTGTGAAGCCTTTTGTGTAAGTACATGGAAGAAATGCAAGGGGATTTATGGTGGTGTCAAGAAGTCAGATGCTGTGTTACTAGTCAAAATGAAGACGCAATGTAGAAGTACTACAAAAGTCTACATTCTGTAGCTGATTGTTCAAGGTAGGGAATATCAGAACTTCAATTTTCTTATATGGGCCTGGAGAGAGAGCTCAGTGGTTAGGAGCATTGGCTGCTCTTGCAAATGGACTTGGGCTCAGTTACCAGCACCCACATGGCAGCTCACAGCCCTCTGCAGCTCCAGTTCCAGGGACTCCAGCGCCCTTTTCTGGCCCCTCCAGGCACTGCACACACATGGTGCACTTACATGCAGGCAAAAAAAAAAAAAACACACATTAAATTTAAAAAAATGGGGTTACTTCGAGATTTAAAGTAATATGTATTCATTCAGTGCTGTGCTTACAAGGTAGCCATGGTTATTCCTTGGAAATTCATCAGTGTTGGAAAATGATGGCAGCATTTTTATATGAGAGATTACAAATATAACTAATGATTTTATGTTTGAATTAGGAAAATTCATACAGTCAAAAAAATGCCAGGGCTGGAGAGATGGCTCAGCAGTTAAGAGGACTGACTGCCCTTGCAGAGGACCCGAGCTTGATTCCCAGCACCCACATGGCAGCTTTAAACCGGCCTTAACTCCAGTTCCAGGGGAATCCGAATGACCTCTGTGGCATTGCACAACACGGGTGCACTCACATACATGCAGGCAGTACACTCATACACATAAAAATAAAAATAATAAAGAAAATATATTTTTTTTTAATGCATGGGTTGCTGAAGAGATGGCTCAGTAGTTAAGAGCACTGACTGCTCTTGCAGAGGACCCAGGTTCGATTCCCAGCAACCACACTGCAACTAATAACCATAACTCAAGTTCTAGGGATCCAGAGCCCTCTTCTGACCTTGGAAAGCTTTCTAGAAGAGATGATGTGTAGGAAGAATGAACGTTCTTTCTCTTGAACTTTCAGATTTGTGTGTGTGTGTGTGTGTACACATGCCATGGTACACATATGGAGGTCAGGGGACAACCTGTAGGAATCAGGTTTCTCCTTCTACCGTGTGGGTTCTGGAGATGGAATTCAGATTATCAGGCTGAGCAGCAGGCACTTTTACCCACTGAGCCATAGATTTTTGTTTTAGTGGCATCTGCCCCCCACCTTTAAAACCAATTTTGCATAAATTGGTGGAGAAGTGGAATTGGATAGTCAGAAATTGGCTTACCTATCAGGAACCCAGTGTGTGCACTAATCATACCTCTAGCAAGTATGAAATAGTTCACACCTCTATAACATGAGGACCAGGCCCCAGCTGACAACCATTCCAAACAATATTGTGAAGTTTGTGACTTTGCATGCATAGGCTTGGATTCCTCAGTAGTTTTCGGTAACCTACTTAAGATGGGTTTGAACGAATCTCTTTTTTTCTTATAAAGAAATAGCGGTATAAGAGTCCAGGACTGTGCCGTTACTCTTTGTATAATAAGTGTCAGTATAGCATGTTTATCTTACAGAGCGGTATATCTTACCAGGACCTCACTGTGCTAGTCATTTAAAGTAGTGCTGGGTGGGTTGGGAGGCTTAGGAAGATGCCAGCGAGAATGAACTCCAGCTTGCTTCTCTGTGTGTTTTGGAGGTGTATAGCTTGTGTTTTCCTCCTCCCTCATTCTGCCTAATGTCACATGTCCAGCTGGAGGCCAAATTTTCATTTGGAAGCCTAGCATAAAAGGATAATCTAATTCTTGTTGCGTCTAAATTTGGTACTGTATATCTTTGAAGAATTACATTTGCTGTGTATAAAGGACCCTTTAACACAAAGTTTTCTTAACTGTGGTATTGGTGACCTCATCAACTAAAAGCAGATATGGAGCTATGGGAGAAGAGAAGAGCATGAATGTGTGGGCGTGTCTACATGCCCACAGCACACCAGTGGAGATGAGAGGACAGCTTGGCAGGAGTCTGTTCTCTCCTGCCACGTGGATTCTGGGGCTTGAAATCAGGTCGCCAGGCTTGGTGGCAAGTTTTTATCACTAAATTGTCTTGCCGGTCCCACTAAATTACTTGATTTTTAGTTCGTATTATTACCTTTTATTTATTATGTGTGCATGTGGGAGTCAGAAGACGACTTGCATGAGTGTCTTCTTTTCTTCCTCCGTGGGTCCAGGAAATTGGCTTCAGGTTGTCAGGCTTGGCGGCAAGCGCCTTCACCCCATGAGCCATGTCACCAACTCCCCCTCATCAAGTTTTAGTACAGCATCTTTTTAGCCTTTTCTGTTCAACTGTTGTTGCTCCCCTGTTGAGCAGCTCACTTTAGTGACCATATCCTAGAGTTTTTTTTCAAATCACAAAGGCCTGATCTATATCCAGATTTTGAATTCCAAGATAACAGAGTTCAGGCACAGCCTCCATGTTGTTCACCTCTCACTCTGCTGCTCTTGTACCTTCTCTGGCAGTCCAAGCTGTTGGCCTCTTTCCTTTCCTCTATTAACCCCCTGTTACTTTGCTTTTGTTCTGATAGACTTTACTCTGCTATAGGAGCACCCCCCCCACCCCCCAGTCCACAGGGACTGTATTCCAGAATCCCCAACAGATGCCTGAAGCCACATACATGCCTTACCACGTTCTACGTGTGTTCTGCTATACATACATACCTGTGATGGTTTAATAAATGAACTACAGTAATAAAATAGAACAATTACACTGTGATAAAAATATGTGTTTCAGTATGCTATTACGCTGTATTCACCCTTAAGATGATGTGAGACAGGATGAGGTGAGATGTTAGGCAACAGCGTAAGGGGCACTAGAACACAGGCTGTGCTCTGGCAGTTAATCTGATAACCAAACAGCTTCTAGCAGGCCAGTTGGGAGCCTGCACAGTTTTGTCACCCTGTTCATGCTAACCCGGTTTAAAACTTACCTTCTGACCTGGGATTTCCCATGTGTTCAGACTGCTGTTGACCATAGACAGCTGAAACCTTAGGAAGTAAAACCATGGATAAGGGATGACCACTCTTTCTGCCTCACCTTGCCTTTGCCTTTCACTTGTCTTTCCCCTTCCCCTCCTTGTCTTTGTCACTCAGACTGGCCTCAGTCCATGAACCTCCTGCCATAGCCTCCTGAGTGCTGGAATTACTGACAGGAGCCAGCACCCACCTGTTTCTGCCTTTTCTGTGTCTCTCAATTCACATTGCAGAGGATTACCAGAAAAAAAAAAAAAAAAAAAAAATGCACTTTGGGGCTGGAAAGAGCTCAGCAGTTAAGAGCACTGGCTGCTCTTCCAGAAAACCCAGGTTTGGTTCCCAGCACCCCATGGCAGCTAGCAACCATCTATAACTCCAGTTCTAGATGATCTAACACCCTCTTCTGACCTCTGCAGGCTTCTCACACCATAGGTGTACTTACACACATGCAGCAGTATAGGCATACACATAAAATAAATTTTTAAAAAACACACACACAAGCTGATAGCAGAAATCAAGATTTTTGCCTCAGACCATGAATGACATCCAGTGGTGATCTTTTTGCTTTCCCTAGCCAGCTCCTTTTCCTATGGAAACTATGTAATCCTCATCATCCAGGTCCCATTATCCTTAACATGTGATCTAGCATTTTCTCCCCATTTTGTTTGAAAAAGTTTATTGGATATAACCTAAGTGTGGTGATATATCCCTATAATGATAGAGGTTGGGAGGCTGAGAGAAGGTCTTCAGTTCTGTGTCAGCCTCAGCTTCATGTCGGTGTGTATTTAGATCTGAACCCCATTCCCAAGATATGACTTACATACAGATGCTCCAGAAATCCTAAAAAAACAAATTGCTTTTGATCTCAGGCATTGTGGATATGGGTGATTCAGCCAGTCACAGCCCAGGAGGAGGCATTCAGCAGGGCTCTCCTTGCAGTCCATTCCCTAAAACATCCTTCAGTCACTGTTCCCTTTTTGTCGTATGGATTTCATTTCTCCCTTTCCCCCAGCATCCATCCCTGTTGGCCTGTGCAAACTTGGTATCTCTCTACTCTTGCAAACAACATAATCTTCCTGAACATCTGTAGGTACCATTTGTCCCTTTCAGTCCACTGCAACTTGACTTTTTTCGACATTTCATTAACATCACTCAAGCTATGGCCTGTGATGACTTCATGAATTACCTGATGTGTTGCAGCCTCTGTCTCACATCTCTTGAAATGCTTGACTTTGTTGATCTGTCTGGGTTTTGGACATTTCCCCCTTGGCTTTGTGCTAGGCTCTTCATTCCCTTTCTGTCACTCTGCCAGTTGTTTTTAGTTTGAGGGAATGCTGGCTTTCCCATATGATTTATGTTTGCCAACAGGTCAGTCCATGGTGACTTGCCCCATGCTTGGGGCCTGTGGTAGAACACAGTGGCAGAGGGCACCTGGTGGAACAATAGGTGTTGTCCTGTTGAGGAGAGGGAGGGAGGGGATGAGAGAATGAGGCCACACGCCTAGTGACCAGGAGATCTCCCACCAGGCTCTATGACTTAAAGATTCTACTCCAGTAGCATCATAGGCTTTTAGAGTACTATATCCAAAGTATATCAGGGACTTAGGTTCATGTTTTCTCTGTCCTCTCTCTAGATAGTACAGATACTGTACATTTCCTTATAGGATTTATATGTCCCTGTGGGCATATGACTTCTGCCTGTATGTAAATAGAAACCTCCAGTATTCATCTAAGCTAGGTTCTTGCTGCTGAGTTCTAGATTTGGGTGTAGGCTGCCTGCAGCCCTCTCTCACCATCTATCTCATAGATATCTTAGTTTATCCAAAGTTCAGTTTCTTCCCTTTTGCCCTAAACCTGCTGTGTTCTTGTATTCTACATTTTTAGCAGTAGTATTTGCACTTAGCTGTTCAGTAAATAATCTTTGACTCCTTTTCTTTTGTTTACCAGTTGTTCTGCCCCTAAGTGCCTTCTCTGTCCCACCACCACTGTCTTAGTGCAGGCCTTAGAGTCTTTCACATGGTGTCTTGTAGAAGAAGCCTTACGCTTTTACTCAAAATGGTATTTTGTCTGGTGTTTATTTTCCAGGTCCCATGTTGGGTTCTTTTTAAAGCAATTCTTATATTTATTTATTTAGTTAGTTGATACTTATTTTGTGTGTGTGTGTCTGTGTCTGTGTGTCTGTGGTGTGTGTACATGGAGTCAGGACAACGTACAGGAGTTGGTTTTCTCCACCATTTGGGCTCCAGGGATTGAGCTTGGGTTATCAGGCTTGGTAGCAAGGGCCCTTTACCCACTAAACCATCTTCCCAGCCTTCCCATGCTAGGCTCTGCCAGTGACAGGGTGATGTAAACAAGGTCCCAAGTTATCTAGCTTATTTTGCACTGGGCACAAGAAAAATTGGATGAAGTGTTACCATATTATGTGTTTTAAAGGAGGGGAGCACACTTACATTATCTGACAGAGGAAATGCCCTACTCGACAAAGAAGGCTTCCTTGAAAAGATGTGACTGGTTGGAGCTGAAGAGATGGCTCAGCAGTTAATAGTACTGACTGCTCTTGCGGAGGACCCGGGTTTGATTCCTGTGGCGGCTCAGAACTGTCCTTAACTCCAGTTCCAGGGGAATCTGAACCTCTTTTCTGACCTCCGTGGCATTGCACGACATGGGTGGGCTCACATACATGCAGGTGATAGACTCATACACATAAAATAAAAATAATAAGTAAAATATTTAAAAAAAGAAAAGATGTGACTGAACTGAGATCTAAGGCAGAACGTTTAACAATGGTGCAGGGACTGGAAGGAACCAAAAAACAGGCGGAACTGGTCTGAGATGAGACTGGAAACAAGAGCAGTGTAGGCCACATTGTCCTGGAGATAGGAATTCAGTGGAAGATTCTTAGCTAGAGTAGGGAACACTGTACACAGATGTTTGTAGCAATTGGAGGACTGAAGAGGATGTGAGAACTTAGGTTATAGCTTTCTTCCTCAAAAGCACAAACACTCCTTCCTTAAAATCCTCCACTCCTAGTAAAGCACTCGACAGTATTTCTGGGCTTTTCTTCTACCCTTCCCTGGCCTTAAACTTCCTGCAGCTTCACCTTATTTCTACCCAATTCTGCCTCCTTCATCCTTTGTGGGCCTGGGGAGTTCCCAGCAAGACAGAGCTCTTGCACCACACCTCCAAGAAGCATTCCAGAATAACCTTCATTTCTACCCCAGGGCAAAGTAAAGAAGTTGGTCATGTATCCTGAGTATCTGTAGTGCAAGTTGTCAGTGTGAATTCTGCAGTGTTGGAACAGTTTCTTTGCCTGTCTTGACGCACCAAAGCTTCCCACCATGGGATGATTTCATGTGTCTTGTTTGATCCTTCCTATGTAGTACTATTCTTGGTGTTTGTAAATGTTGGAGTAATCGTTGCATTTTTCTCTTGTGACCAACTTTTGCCAGTATTCAAGTTAATAAAACATTTACTGACCACCTACCAGGTCTGGGGGAGGGAGCGTTAACACATAGACTGTGTATGATCCATTTTTCTTAGGCTAATTCTGCTTGTTTTTATTAATTTACACAACACTTTTCTTGATAGGAACTTTGTGTTCATTGTTCTGTTGTAGAGAATCAATATTTGAAAAATCATTGTTTGCTGGAACTGCAGAAGGTATTGCTTTTGAAATGTTACAAAGTTAAGGGTGAATTACGCAGTCGAAATTGCAGAAAAACCCTTCAGTGAATTGCCGTAACTTCCAAGCTCAACCATGTGCCTGCCAGGGTGCCACAGAAAGAAGTAGGGTGCTCTGCTTCTTGGAATCGGGGGCAGAATTTTGTAGTCTTTTTGCCCCTTGTGTATTGGAGTCACAATTGACTTGATCTTTTTCCTGCTTTCTAGATAACAGCAAAAGCTGCCATTATTTTCGTGGCTCTTCAGTACAACGTTACCCACCCTGCAGCAGGTAGGTAATTTTTCTGTAAAGGTCTGTATTTAGGTAGAAGTACAGTTGACCAATTTGTAAATAGTCAGGAACACCAGAGTCTACATTACTGTCCACAGATCCCATCCATGATTAGACTAAGCATTGTTTTGATGATTTGCTAATAAGATCAGGTGTTTGGGGGTTATTTTATCCTAAACAGTATATGAAACTCAGTTTTATGTGTTTATTATTTATTACCTATTTGTGAATGGTCTTAATTCTATCAAAGAACTATTTGTATTGCCTTCTCTGTTTTCATAAAGAAAATTCTAAAAATATGCTAAATGTCATTGCACAGTCAAGAGTTGTACAGGCACGAGGTTCAGGTTCAACTTTTTGGCATCTAAGTTATATTTTGGCCTGAGAATAATCCCTTCAGACTTATTTTCATTTTTTGTTGTGTTTACCTCTAGCAGTTATTTTGACTAGAGAGAATAGTAATAGACTCTAGGAAATATCAGGTAATTGTATCCAAATGATACTTGTATTTCAGAAAGTTTTAGTTCTAAATTACGCTATGGAAAAGTCAAGTTGCCATGAGAAGTTGACTGTGGTTGAGCACAGAAATGTAATTAACTAACTTAAATGAGAGTTAGGATGCTTGGTTAATGAAATAGCAACACACTCTTAGTAAATCTGCTCTGAGGTTTTTTTTACTGTGAATGTAAGATCAGATATATAACACTGAGGGTTGTGTTGTTATTTATAGTTTTGTGAATGCTTGAATTAGTGACCTAGATAAAAAGTTACTCCAAAGTGACCTGTTGTTTTAGCAGTGGCCTATACCAGCATAAAATTTTACCTTAATGGTCCCATAAACAAGCCCAAGAACACATGTTAGTACTTCACAAATACTAATATTTGTTTTGAAATTTTTAAGCAGTTTTAAGAATTAAAAACAAATTTTCTGGCCAGGCATGTTCGTGCATGCCTTTTAAGCACAGCACTCTGGAGGCAGAGGCAGGCAGATTTCTGTGAGATCAAGGCCAGCCTGGTCTACATAGTGAGTTCCAGGCCAACTGGGGCTACAGGGAGACCCTACCTCAAAAACAAGCAAATAGAAACAATAATAATTTTACCAATAGTTGCCTCTCTACTGCGGGGAGATTAAACTAAATCAATCAAAGTCAGATTGGTTTCTACTGGGAAGCGTACTACGATGTCTATTGAAATAGAGCTAGGAAAGAAAAAAAGAAAGAAAGAGCCAGGACATTCCAAAGGGTATTGAGAAGACAGCGAATAGCCTGAGTAGACAATGTCAGTTTATTGAGTGTGGCCTCATCCCGTTTCTTGGTTTTTGATGACTGTAACTAACACACATCGAGTCTTTGTAAGCAATTTCTGAAGCTTTGGGTTTCTGGATAGGCCTTTCCTAAGTTTTCATCACCCCTAAGACTCAAGATGTTTAAGAGCAAATCTTCTATACCTCTGTGGACCTTTTTAACTGGCTTGGTCTTTTGTTCGTTTCTATAGCTGTGTTGTACTTGGTGCTGTTTTATAATCTTACATATATTTTTGTGTATGTGTGTTCTTTCTGGCCTTCAGAAGAACAAGCTACTGAATCAGCATCCCTTTATCACTATGGCTTCAAAGATTTGGCTACGGTTTTCTTCTACATGCTAGTGGCGATAATTATTCATGCCATAATTCAAGAATATGTGTTGGATGTAAGTATTCAATCTCAAAAAAAAATCTCTATTTTGTAAAGCAGTAGCTTTCCATAAGAGAGTCATACATTATGTATATTTTATAATTTATTATTAATTCCTAATAGCTGCTTTTATTTTTAGAAAATTAACAGACGAATGCACTTCTCCAAAACGAAGCACAGCAAGTTTAATGAATCTGGACAGCTTAGTGCGTTCTACCTTTTTGCTTGTGTCTGGGGCACATTCATTCTCGTCTCTGTAAGTATGTCGCTATGTATTGTTCTTAAGTCTCATTTAATATCAGTAACTGTGCTCATTGCCAGGTGTGGCAGTGCATGCCTTTAATCCTGCCACTCAGGAGGCAGAGGCAGGCATATCTCTCTGAGTTCAAGGCCATCCTGGTCTACATATAACTTGGAGGCTAGCCAGAGAGTGAGACCCTGTCTCAAAAAGACTCTTCTCAACAGCGCATGTAAATTGAGAGTTACAGTGATAAATCTGTTCATTTTCATATAGAATTCTTAGTTGTTGCTGTTTCAAAAAGCCTTCCACATCTTAGTCACTAAATGTCGTCATTCTCTCTTTTAGTTCCTTGCAGATACCTTTTTGTCAGCAAGAAGGGTTAGATGTTAGTGGTGAGCTTGCCTCTGTTACATGAGCGGTAATGTGTTTAGTCATTTCCTCCTTTATAAACAGTCAAGTTGTTTTCCAAACAGCTTAAAGTGTATAAATTTTCAAGAAGGGTGATCAGAACATTTAGCTCTCTTTAATGAAGAGAGGAAAGATAGTAGTATCAATTTTAATATGAAATAACAATACCTCACTTTTGTATCCATTCCATGGCTTACCTACTTTTGAGCTTGTTAGGCACATTATTCTTTTAAGTTGTGCTAAAGACTAATAGCAGGCACATTATTCTTTTAAGTTGAGCTAAAGACTAATAGCAGCCAGTGCTCTTAACTGCTGGGCCAGTTCCAGTATCCAACACTTAATGTCAGAGATAGACTAAAACTCAGCTCTTCAATCCAGTGCCTATTCCATCTTACTCTGCTGATTCAATACAGTGAGTGTAAACTTCAGTTTAAAATCAGTTTTCTAATTAAAAAAAATAAGAGTTACACCTCTGGGGTAAGATAGTCTTGTTAAAGGTAAGTCATTTTAGATTTTAGAGGGGTTTAACATGTGTAGTAATTTTCACCAAATACATCCAGGTTTCTGAGAAAAAGACCTGGGTAGTGTTTTGTGGACATGAACCTGGCAGCATTGTGAGCTTCTATCTGTCAGGAGATCCAGGTTTCCCGAAGCTTCTTCTAATTACCTGGGACAGAATGTATCGCTCCCATAGCTGTCTGTCTGATACGTACTGTTGCTGTTGATTACATATGTTTGTGTAGATATACTTTTTACTCTACTGTATTGAAAGATACTTGAAAAACTAAAACATTTTATTTTCGCTGGACCTGATTGTGGGAAACTGGAAATATTTATTTGATATTCACAGACTAATTTTCATGTCCTTTCTCATAGGAAAACTATATCTCAGATCCAACTATCTTGTGGAGGGCTTATCCCCATAACCTGATGACGTAAGTAATTTTTAAATCATGTCTTTCTTAACTGAAGACTATGTTCATATCACAAACAAGCAGGATCTATTCTTGCTCTTCTCTTTAAGATTTCATACTAATTGATAAGATAAATGTGCTGCCTGTTGGCCATAAAACAGTGACCACTGTCATTAGGAAGTGTCCTGTGTGCGCGTCATGGATGTTTCTGTTATCTTTGCTCCTTGAGATAACTTATTTTAACATAATTTTAATTTGGTCTTCTCCTCCCTTTATGCTCCTCATCTTTTCTCCTCTGCATGGCTATACCTTTCCCATAGTCCTCTTTGTTCCCTTACCCCCTCCATCTCTTTCATTCCTTTCTTCTTTTCTATAAGATTCTTGAAATTGAGGGTTCTTTCTTTGTTATTTTTGTCGGTGCTGCACATTGCTTGCAGGATCTTAGTAGTTATGAAGATACCTACATAAGTTATTCGCTTAGCTCCACGTAGCACCACTATTCCACAGTCATTTCCCTTGATAATTTGCCTGTATAGGTCCTTTGCATCCCCAGATTTGTTGTTAGGGTTTACAGTATCTATGTATTATTTTTATTTTATGTGTATGAGTGTATTGGCTTCATGAATGTAAGTGTACCCATGTTGTACCATGCCCACAGAGGTCAAAAGAGGGCATTGGATCCCCTGGCACTAAAGTTCTAGGTCATTATGTGGGTGCTGGGAACTAAACCCAGGTCTTCTACAAGAATAGCCAGTACTCTTAACTGCTAAGCCAAAAATTATCTCCTTAGCCCCAAATTATTACTATTTTTTAAATTTATGTGTAGAGTGCTTGCAATGCTCACAGAGGCCAAAAGAAGGTTTCAAATCCCCTGGAACTGGAGTTACAGGTTGTGAACTGCCACGTGGATGTTGGGAACTGAACCCAGGTATTCTGCAAGAGCAGCCAGTGCTCTTAACTGCTGGGCCAGCTCTTCATCCCCTCTTTTCCTTTTTGTATACTTTGCTAGGTAAATTGTAGATGCTTGCAACCTACATGGCACTCACTAAATACTTTGTGATCTGAGATTCAAGAAACAGGCATGAAGGAAAGAGAGTAACATGTCTGTACACATATTGACTTCAATCCAGCAGGAATATCCACCAAACAATTAAATTGTTGATTTAAAGCAATTACAGTAGTATGTTGAACTTTTATTAAAATGAAGTTATAAACATGGTACTTTTGTGGAACTATATTACCCTTCCAGAAATGGCTTCAGATTGACTTTGTGTTTTCCATTTTAGACTTCTAGAGAGAAGGGAGAATAAGATGAATCAGAGGGGCCAGAGGGTTATACTATAAAGAAGAGGCTGTAGGCTGGGTAAAACATGCCTCCTGGGAGCCATCCTGTGCCTTGTTCCTGTCTTTAATTCTGCCTCTGCCTCCATTTATTGGATTTTCTCCATGTTGCAGCAGATGGAATTACAGTATTTCCCGAGTTTTATTGTGATACTGTACCTGTCTTTCACCCTTCCCTGTTGGTGAAATCTGATTTGTGGGTCAGTTGGGCCCCTTGTGTCTTTCTGTAGCTAATGTGGCTGGCTCAGTCAGTTTCAGGGAACTAAGGACAGGCTCGGGCTCTGTACACATACATGCTTTGAAGCACACCTGGTTCATCCAGAATTGGCTGATTGGTAGCTATAACCTAGGGAATTAGAGAAAACTGACTGCCAGGAGCTGTTTAAAGAAGGGTTGAGTACTGCATGAGATAACACAAACGTAGCTGTCCCAATAGCCAGGGTTTGATGTTGGTTTTGTTTTTAATACTATACTTAAGAAACTTATTTTTTGCTTTCTTGCACAGATTTCAAATGAAGTTTTTCTACATCTCACAGTTGGCTTACTGGCTCCATGCTTTCCCTGAGCTCTACTTCCAGAAAACCAAAAAAGTAAGCTGGGGTTTCCTTTGTGTACTTTAAAAAGTTGTCATCTCTGAAACTGAATACTTCTTTCTGGCCTTATCCTCCCTTCAACTGCCTCTGCCAGTCTCCACCTCCCCCTTCATACAAAAACTAAAATCCTTAAATAGTTCTTGACAAAAGAAACTTTACTTGATATTTAACTTTTGCATTTACATGCTAATTGCTCATTTTTAAATTGTGTTAGTAATTTAAAGTCTAAGCACATTTTAGAATGTAGTATTGGTTTCATCTCATTGGTTTTCTTAGCAATTTATTTCACAAGTAATTCATTAGGTTACAACTAACAATTCTTTATCTAAGTCTCAAAGAAGAATTTGGTATTGACAAAAAACTAAACCACAGTTAAATATTCACCAGGGAAGCCTTTCCTGAAATGGGTGGAGCAGATGTTTGTTTAAAGAAATCAGTCAACTCCTGGAGCCCTTCAGTGCCCCGCTTTATGAAATCACTTTCCACAGTATCACTACGTCAGCTTTTTACTTTGTTTAACTTTTTTTTTCCTCCTCTGAAACCTCCGCCAGCTTCTCATTGCTTTAGACTGAAGCTGCTCATCTGTGCTGCAGGCGTATGTGCTCTGCCCCATCCCCTCACCCATTCCTTCTGCTTTCATTTCACAGTGATGTGCTCTGATTGTAGAATCTAACACATGGGCTGTTCTTTCATGGTTACCTTTCCCTCTAGTAAATTAATCAAGCACCTTATTTCTTTTTGACCAGATAGATAATTTTTTTAAAAACTCCATATGGCCAGGTGTGGTGGTGCACGCCTTTAATCCCAACACTTGGGAGGCAGAGGCAGGTGGATCTCTGTGAGTTCAAGGCTGGCCTGGTCTACATAGTGAGTTCCAGGTCAGCTGGGGCTACAGGGAGACCCTGTCTCGAAAAAGACAAAAAAAACCCCTCTATATGTGATCTATTTACTGGGATTTACTTCAAAAAAATATCAGATAAGGGTAAACAAGCACAGATATAGATGAAACAGTTTTGTCATTTGTTAATAAATTGAGTCTGGGTTATAAATACATACTGATTCATTTTACTCCTTGTTAGTTGTATATGTATTGACATTTGCCACATTGAGAATGTTTGCCTCTTTAAGCCCCTTACTTTGAGAGAAGTCTTCCTAACTAGAATTATGATAACCCTTTACTAATCAATGTATCTCTGCCCTCTCCAAAGCCACAGATACTTTCTTTAAAAGTATGTACTATAAGTAGGCCCTTTATCTGTCTGTGTTGTATGTGTACCAAGTGTCTGGGTTTTTTTTGTTTGTTTTTGTTTTTAATGTCTGCTGGGATTAGGAAACAATATGAAATTAGAGGCCATGTGCTGTGACATGTGGTGTTGATTTATTTTATAAAGTCCAATGTTTTTCTAGTTAAATTGGTAATAAATGTTAGGGTGAGGATTCTCATTTGTTTTAAATGTTGAAGAATTACTAGGCCCACAGTCTCTAGTAGCTCTTCATTTAGTGAGCGCCTCACATGAGTCTTGGCTGTCCTGGAGCTCCCCTGTCCTAAATGTAGCCACTAGCCACATCTAAATAAAGTTAAGTAAAGACACAGTTCGCTTTCTTGGTCACACTGGCCATATTTCAGCGCCCAGAATTTGCCATTTTGGATAGAAGATACACTTTTTTTTTTTAAAGACATCATTTTTCTGTGTAGCCCAGTCTAACCTGTAACTCAAGATCCTCCTGCCTCAACTTCCTGAGTGAGGGGAGATTACAGGTATGTGCAAAGTTTAGATGGAGATTTATGGAACACTTTTGTTACCATAGAAGATTCTGTTGGATGACACTGCTGAGAGTGTCATAGTTTCATGATGTCTTTGTACTGTATCATGGCTCAGCTGTTTCAAGTGAGCGTCCTTTAGGTATTTGCATACTTATGGGCATAGTACCTCTGGGTTTCATTATTAATCCATGTCTCTATATTGCTCACTGACCCTAGTAAGTAAAAAGGAACATTTCAAAGCAATTGTTCATTTTAGCTCCTAAAGCTTTTTTCTTATCAGTTTCTGCCAGATGGCATTTCTCCAGAAATGCAGCCTAATTTTTATGGAATAATTTGCATAACTTAGAACTTAACGGAAACTATTTTTAACACTTATATGTGACAGTTGAAAGTAACTGTTTCAAGTAATTAACATAATTTGAAAGCAACAGCTGCATATGTGTTAAACAGTTTCTTAAAATTTACTCTATGGAATTTATTTTTGGAAAAAATCTTTACTGGAAGGAACTAGTACAGTGATTGTTTTCAACCAGTCTCTCAGACAGATGAATAGAGAAAGGAACACTATTAGGAGCAGTGGAAGAGGAATGCTAGAGGCAAGTAACTTAGTTTCTTTTAAGAATATTTAAATTGCAGATGTTATGGAGACTTCAATATGAACAAAACACATCTTCATTTTGCCCATGAGAGTTGAAATACTATTCATAGCCAGGCACTAAGTGTGACCTGTAGTTCAGTTCCAAAGGCACAAGGTTTGGGCCCAGTTGTTCAGGTGCAGCCTGAGCAACATAGCAAAAGACCCTATCTCAAAAATAATAATGCCATAGCCCATTTGAATATATGAGGTTTAGAGAAGTAATGAAACCACCAAATATTCTGTTGCTGATACTCAAATTTGTTTTGGTTATAGAGAATATAATTATACAAAATATTAAAAATGGTTTTCCCCATTGCCACTTCATGAATGTTAGATTCACACTTTCCATCTGTGATATTTTGTTCATCTCTCATTCACTGCTGAAGCCACCCTTTGAATAATCTAGCAAAGATTTTTCAGAGTCTGTCAATAGACCGCAATAAGTTATTTTAAAATTGCAGTAATGGAAGCTTTTTATTTAGCCTTATGTGTCTTCCCAGACATTTATTTATTAAGCTCAAAATAATCACTGTAGACCCTGTAATAGAAGAAGGGGGAAAAAAAAAACTGATTAAGATGCTTCCTTGGGTTATAGAGAAATCTTTGCCTTTTATAGGCATATATATGATAGTTTGTAAAATTTGGTTTTACTGTAGTGTTGTCAAGAAACATTTTCTTATGCAATTTACCAGTTATTCTCTTTAATAAAGATAGTAGAATAAGAAGTGAAAATGTCACTTTGGAAAACATGCCCCTCTTTTTTCCATGAAAAATGAGATTGTCCAAATTTCAAGGCATTCCATGATTTCTTGTATGAGCGTTAGTATTGAGGATGTACGGCCAGATGTAGTCATGCACTGATCATACCGCTTGGGAGGCTGAAGTAGAAAGACCAAGACTAGGCCAGCCTTGAGCTATAGCAAAACCTCATCTCTCGAGTAAAGAAGGTATAATAGCTTGGAAACACTCTTTAAATAACTCAGTTTCATTGTGTGTGGGGTGTGTGTGTGTGTGTACGTGTACATGGATGTATGAATGTGCATTCACGTATGTCTCACTAGGTAGACCAGCCTGGCCTCAAACGCACAGAGATCCACCTGCCTCTGCCTCCCAAGTGCTGGGATCAAAGGTATGCACAACCACGCCCTCTGAGTATTTTATTTTTAAATAATCTTAAAATCTCATTGTAGCTTCTGATTAACTTATACAGCAAAATCCTAGGATGATATATGGGAATGTGTTGAAACAAGAATAGCTTTTGCTCAGCCCATTTCTGTTGCTCTTGACCTTGGTTTCTAGAGCAGCGATGAGCCCTTCTTGGACAGCTTACTGATTCCCTGGCTGATCAGCAAACTGATTTTGTGAACTCCTCTGAGAAGGCCCAGTTCTAACCATCCTTTCTGGTTCTTTGCTTTTCTCCACACCTTACATCACTGTGTAAGCTCCAGTGCTAGGTGGGAACTTGGCTGTCGTCACCAGACATGAGAGTGGACATGGCTTACTCCACAGGGATGAGAGAATACTAGGGGAGAGTGGCCTAGGACAATATGCTAACAGCAGTCTTTTTTTTTTTTCTTAAAGAATTTAAAAAATTTTATTTATTGAAATTTTATAAATTTCATACAATATATTTTGATCATATTTAGCTCCCTCCCCAACCCCCACTGGATTTCCTTTACTCTGTCACATATATATATATGAAGGCCTATTGAGTCAAGTTTGTGTACACAAATGTCCCTCAGTGTGGGTCCATCTACTGGAGCCTGGTTAACCTATCTAGTACCTTCACATTCTTAAAGAACACACTCTCTCTCTCTCTCTCTCTCTCTCTCTCTCTCTATCTATCTATCTATCTCAGCAGTTATTGATAGCCAGTAGTTCTTCAACTAAGGTTAGGGCTTCTTACCCACTTTCCCACTTCTATGCTGGGATTTTGTCTGACTTGAGTTTGCATGGGACTTGTGCATGCTGTCACCATTGCTGAGAGTTCATATGACCAGCTGTCTGGAGAAGTCTGTTTCCTTGTCATCCACCACCTCTGGCTCTTACAGTCTTTCTATCCTCGTCTTCCACAGTGGTCTCTGAGCCTTGGGTGGCAGAGGTTTGACATAGGTGTGCTGTTCAGGGATAAGCATTCTGTAGTTTCTTATTCTCTGCACTTAGGCCAGTTGTGGCTTTCTGGGTTAATCACCATCTTTTGCATGAGGAAGCTTTGCTAATGAGAGTTGAGAGGTGCCTTAATGTTCTTTCTGCCCCCTGTTCTGCTGTGTTCCTTTAGCCTTAGGTGTAGAGATTGCATTATAGGTGTGTTATTTAAAGCTGGGCACCTCACAGACACTTGTGTTTGACCAGTTGTGAAACTTTGTAATAGTCTCCATCTGTTGCAAAACAAAGCTTCTTTAAGAGGTACACTTACTGTAAATATAAGAATACATATTTAGAATACAGTAAGAAATTACATTGGTCTAGGGATGTGACAAATGTAGGTCTTTCTTTAGGTCTGTACGTATTTGGCTGTGTTTACAATACCACATATGAATTCCCTCCCATGGAGCAGGCCTAAATCTATTTAGATAGCTGTTGATTAACCCCAAGATAAAAATACCACTACTAAACCCGTAGAGATTATTTGCTGGGCCATTGTCGTTCATAAATTCTATACAGCTGGGTGGGATCATTGATTGGTTTTCTTCCATGGCAGTTTGCATGGTATCTTCTGATGCTATGGGAGCTAGTCTTCAGGGAGAAGGTTTCCAGATCAATCCAGCTCAATTACGCCAAGTCCTGTGTTGGAAGTATGTCCTGTCTTCAGCAATAGGGTCTTACCTTCAAGTTCTGGAAGGCAAGAAGGCTCTCAAAGGCTGTGGCAATAGCCTATATTATTTGGGGTATCTCTTACTCTACCCTGACCAGCAACTAGAAAGGAGCTTTCTCCTGCCTGGCACTGGTTTTTGTTATGCAGCCTTCCATTATGCATGTGCATGTATACAAATTGTGTGTGTGTGTGTGTGTGTGTGTGTGTGTGTGTATTTCTGTAGGTTTTTGAACTAATACATTTCCCTCTGGTTTTTCATACCACCTAAATCTTATTTATCTCCTCTCTCCCATACAGCCTTCCCTATTCCCTCCCCAAGTTAAAGTAACCTCCATTTAGCTGTTATTTTCTAGATAAAATTTCTCATTTTATCTTATTTTTTATTTACTTTTATTTTATGAATATTTAGCCTGCATGTATGTAAGTGCACCTGTGTTGTGCAGTGCCTGTGGAGGCCAGAAGAGGATGTCAGATCCCCTGGAACTAGAGTTACGGATGAGTGTTAGCCACCATGTGGTGATAGGAACCAAATCAGTTCCTCTGCAAGAGCAGCCAGTACTCTTAACCACTGAGCCATCTCTCTAGCCACAAAGTTTCTCATTTTAAAACTCATGATTTATCACCTCCCCTGCTGTTGCTTTTTTGGTTTTTGGTTTTTGGTTTTTTTGAGACAAGGTCTTACTATGTAGCTCTGACTTACCTAAAACTTGATATGTAGACCAGGCTATCCTCGAACTCACAGAAATCCTTCTGCTTCTGCCTCTCAATTACTGGGATTAAAGGTGCGTACCAGCATATCTTTCAACTGCTCTTTCTTCATTGTTCAGAATGATTTGCCCTGGGTGTCTGCTTTCCATTACCCATGGTTGTTATTCTCATGTCTGTTCCTCTTTTGCCTGGGGTTTTTTTTTTTGGTATTATAGTTCTTAGCCTTCTTGGGTAGGGATGAGCTAACTTACCTGGGGTCACACTGACAAAAAGTGCAGAACATAGCAGCTACCCATTTTCTTATTTACTTCTACTGTCTCTGTGATAGGCTTTGAATGTGCAAGCATAGCTTTGACACAGATTTGTTTGAATACAGATGCAGGAACTATTACCTGGAAAAAGTTTCCTGGTCCTCTGTCCCTTCTGTCCATGCTATTTTAACAGCTTGAGCAACTGTTGGTCATGAGAGTGGAAGCTGGTAATGGCATTTTATCCTCTATCATTACTGACTCAGTTGTTGACTGCCAAAAAGGCAAGGCAGAGATGCAGAATTGACTGGGTTTAGGAAAGACGCTGTGTGGGTTCTGCTGTTAAAAATGAACATTTTTTAACTGTGTTTCATCTTTGATGTGTCTTTGTGTTTGCAGGAAGATATTCCTCGTCAGCTTGTCTACATTGGTCTTTACCTCTTTCACATTGCTGGAGCTTATCTTTTGAAGTGAGTTGCGGTTTGGCTTGGGTGTGACTAGACTAGGCAGAGAGGATGCTAATTTATCTGCATTGGGAATTAATCTCTCACTTCCTGTGTGTTCTTCCAATAGCTTGAATCACCTGGGACTTGTTCTTCTGGTGCTGCATTATTTTGTTGAATTTCTTTTCCACATTTCTCGTCTGTTTTATTTTAGTGATGAAAAGTATCAGAAAGGGTAAGTATTTTAACTATTCTTTTGGTTGCGCAGCAGGGGTTTGAAGTCAGTGTCTCTTAGGACAGCTGGGGCTACAGGGAGACCCTGTCTCAAAAAAAAAAAAAAGGCTGTATCCTTGAGAGGTTTTTTGTTTGCTTGTTTTTTTTTATGTGTATGCCTGTATTGCCTGCATGTAAGTGCACCCATGTCATGTAATGCCCACGGGGGTCAGAAGAGGCTGTCGGATCCCCTGGGACTGGAGTTACGGACAGTTGTTAGCTGCCATGTAGGTGCTGGAATTCGAACCCAGGTCTTCTGCAAGAACAGCCAGTGTTGTTAACTGCTGAGCCATCTCTCCAGCCTGTCCTTTATGCTTTTTAAATTGTTAGTAGTTAAAAGAAAATGAAATTATTTAGCAATAGTAAAACTTTATATTTTATGTTGAAAATGGCAATCTTTCTTAGCTGGAAAGATACTATATTGAGAGTTTCCAAGGCTTTTGCAGTCTATTTTTCTGTTAGGAATTTTCCTGCTTTATTTATTGCATGTTTTTCCTTTGAAGAAAGGTGTGAGGAAGAAGTAAAGTTTCAGAGGACAGTAAAGGGATAGGACCAGTGAGGTGGCTTAGCAGTGCCTTGCTTATCAGTGACTTAAAGTGCTTGCCATGCAAGCCTGAGGACCTGGGTTCAACCCCTAGAAGCCTTGAAAAGGTGAAAGGAAACAACCAGCTCCACACAGTTATCTTCTAACATCTATATGTGGGCCATGCACACACACACACACACACACACACATGCACACACACACAAAAAAAATGTGAAGAAGAAAAATAGATAATATAACCTCAATACTAAAAAATTTTGATGGGAAAAAGAAAATCAGGTCAAAAAGGAAGATTAGAAAAGTAAAATTTATAGAGTGCAAAGTCTTGAATAACTAAAACTCTCAAATGGGAATCGGGCATTTACTTGTTACAGTATATCAGTTCTGAGGTACATTAATAGTACTTGGAAAAAAATTAAACAGATTTCTCTACTAGAATTCTGAGAAACCTAAATAGACTAATAGATGCTATAGCGCTCCCAAATGTGATTTAAAAAAAATAATAATGCAGTATTTCCCAGGCATTTGGATAAGAAATCTTGCAGAATACTTATTTTAGGGCTGTGGGGATGGGTCAGTAGGAAAAGCATAGGACTTAAATTTGGACCCCTAGGAGCCATGTAAAAAGCTAGGTATAAGACAGAGACAGGAGGCTTCTAGGGGCTGGACAAGCCAAGCTAGCCAATTGGTGAGCTGTGGTTGAGTGAGAGACCCTGTCTCAAAAACTAAGGTGGAGAGTGACTAAGGAAGACACCTGATATAGATCTTTGTTTTAGTAGGAGCCTAATTTCTAATAGAAACTTTTCTTAATGAGACATACCACATTTTTCTCGCAGGTTTTCTCTCTGGGCAGTTCTTTTTGTTTTGGGAAGACTTCTGACCTTAATTCTGTCAGTACTTACTGTTGGTTTTGGACTGGCAAGAGCAGAGAATCAGAAGCTGGATTTCACTACAGGAAACTTCAATGTGTTGGCAGTTAGGTACAGTCACTTTTATTTCCACTGTTAATTACTATGCCTCCAATTTCTCTGTGCTGCACATCATCTAGAAAACGAGGGGACAATACAAGGAACCTTGGGAATAAAGGGAAAGGAGCTCAAGAGAGGAGAGACCATAGGAGAAGGGTATTATTAAGGGAGAAATGGGGAAAATAAGGGCACTTTAAATGGAGAAACCATGGTGAAAGGGTTAGACAATGCGAGAGATAAATAATGCCTAGCTAGTTTTAAAAAAAACAGAGGGAACCATATTAGTCCAACAACCTACTGACAAATTATACATACAATTAGCTCAAGGAACATAATTTACATCTAGTCAAGGTTTATCTGAGAACCTTTGGTCTTTGCCCAAGCTTTTTCTACATAGCACATATTAATTAAAAGTACCAGACTGGTGTAACTAACCTTCTTGGATGTTTAACAGCCATACTTTGAGGCCTATACTGATTTGGTCAGCAGGAAGGACAGTTTTTGCTCCTTGCCCTCCAAGGTTGGCTAAGTTCCAGGGGACTATGAGCATCTCTCAAAATGTCCTGTAACTGTGGAGAGTCACATGTCCTCTTGACCAAGGAGGCCATGGAGACCCCACCAGATGGACTCGAACCAGTGTCCAGTCTACAAAAAGGAGGAAACATTTCCTCTCTGCTTCCAAGTGAAGCTAGTCATGGTCGAGCAGGACCTTTGACTTATCTTCACATAGGCGGAACTGGTAAAAGGAAAGGAGCCAGGGACTCCTTCCAAGCCCATGTGACCCCTGAGGAACAGATCCTCAAAGGACCTTAAGAGTAAAAATAAATTGGTTTGTCTGGGCCAATTGTATAGTCTTAAACGCCCAAAAGGAAAGCATAACCAAAGATTAAAGGGATCAGTATAATTCTTTAAGAGTCCATGTGTATAGCTAAAGGCTACATAACAAGAAACAATGGCAGACAGGAGATACCTTCCTTTGAGTTGTTGGCCACGGTGGCCCAAGAGACTCCCAGACAGTAATCCAGCATAGAACTGGGAAAATGAACAGCAGATCCCAGTCTTATCTAAAGGAATGTTGGGAACTGATTGCTGCTAGATGAGGAAGAGCTGACCTTCCTAAAATAAGGAACTCTAGATAGGCTGACTAGACTCAGTGGACGGACAAGCACTGGGGGCACTGACAACACAGTGGACAGTAACAGGGATGACAGAATATATGGGCTCCAGTGGGGGGATGAGGGGACTATGGGAGGGTGCCATTTGGGATGTGGGTATATAGATGAATAAGATTGTTTGGGATGTTCTATATGAAATAGAAAAAAAAAATCAATAAATAAAAAAATGAGTTATATTTGAGGAAGAAGCATAAAAACTTGCTTCATGTTAATTAGTAGATGTGAAAAACATTACCATTGAAATCTACCTGATGACTTTATATCCATGTTCAGATGCCAAGGATCTCAGAAAGTAGCCAGCTGTCACTAGTAATAATCAGATATACAGAGATTAGAGACACATGTGCAAACATCTAATCATTAGTTGCATTAAAAATGAGTTTTTCTTTATGAAAAATGGGCTGTTACCCTAGCAAAGCTGAAGTAGACCCCCTTTCCTCCCAAACTGCTTCTGGTAATGGTATAGTAACAGGAAAACTAGAACAGCCAGCTCAGAAAATTGAATTGTTATTATGTCAATGCTGTTGTAATGAAATGCTTCTTCTAATTATGTATTTATTAAATAAATATTTTTTAAAAATATTAAGGACAGAAGGATGGGAGAGATGGCTCAAGAGTTAAGAGCACTTGCTGCTCTTCCAGACTACCTGAGTTCTATTCCCAGCACCGACCTCAGGGGGTTCACAACTGCATGTAATTCCAGCTCCAGAGGATCTGATGCCATGTTCTGGATTCCATGGGTACCTTCACTCATGTGCACATACCTCCACACAGACACACACATACATACAATTAAAAATAAGATAAATCATTTTTTAGTTAAGCGTGGCATCATCACATGACTTAATAACCCAGTTCTGTTTGTTTACTCAAAAGAATTGAAAGTGAGTCAGGCATGGTCATGCACACCTTTAATCCCAGGACTCAGAAGGCAGAGGCAGAGGCAGGCAGATATCTGTGAGATCAAGGCCAGCATGGTCTACATAGTGAGTTCTAGGCCAGCTGGGGCTACAGGGAAACCTTGTCTCGAGGAGAAAAAAAGGAACTGAAAACGACTCGAGGAGGTATTTGCATTCACACTCGTCTCACAGTATCGTTCTCAAAATCCCAAAGGTAGAAATAACCCAGCCATCCGTCAATAGACAAATGAATCAGCACATTTGGAACACGCCCATAAGAAAATTCAAACACATGTAACAATATAAATGAACTTTGAGGACATCATGCCAAGAGAAACAAGGAAGACAGAAAGACAATAAATACTGTATGATTCTGTTTATGTGAGGAACCTACAGTAGTCAGTTCACAGAAGAAAGTGGGGTGACAGTTGCCCAAGGCTAGGAGGAGAGAAGGGAGCGTTGTTAATAAGCAGAGTGTCAATTTTGCAAGATGGAGAGGGTTATGGACATGGACAGTGGTAGTGATGGCAGCATAACACCAAGACTATCCTCTGTACTCTTAAACCTGACCAAAATAATAGATTTTATGTTATGAATGCATTACACAATTAAAAAAAATTGTAATGGAATGCAAAAAAAAAACCTGGGGGGACAGATTTGAGGACTGGAAAGTGCTTGGTTTGGTTTCATACCTATTGCAGTTTTAGGTATGAATTGGCTAAGTGCTGAGCCTTTGTTTAACTTCTAGGATAAATTTCTCAATGACCATTTTGATTCTGTGGCATTCTTGGGCTGTTGTGATGCTCTGTGTCTTAACTGTTTTCAGGATTGCTGTTCTGGCGTCCATTTGCATTACCCAGGCCTTCATGATGTGGAAGTTCATTAACTTCCAGCTTCGGAGGTGGAGGGAGCACTCTGCTTTTCAGGCTCCGCCAGTGAAGAAGAAACCAGTGGTGACCAAGGGGAGATCTTCTAGAAAAGGGACAGGTTGGTATTGAGTGAGCAATAAAAAGTCACAGAGCAGAAGTAAAAACAGTTAAAAATTCATTATGGGCTCTGTTATTTCCAAATCTTATAAAGACAACACTATTTTTTTTTTTTTTTAAATAAGAAAACAAAGCCAGGTGAGGTGGTGCACAACTTTAATCCCAGCACTTGGGAGGCAGAGGCAGGCAGATCTCTGTGAATCTGAGGATAGCCTGGTCTGTACATCATGTCCAGGCTGCCTCAAAAGACCAAAAAACAAAAAAGAGAAGGGAGAAAGGAGCAGCGAAAACAGGTTCATTGAATACATTGACTACACTTCAAGGGGCAGGCAGTGGCAGCCGGTACTGCCTGCCTTTATCCTGCTGTGTAACAAAGTGAGAGGCAAAGTGGTCTTCCTTTCCACACTTGGTTGACTCCTTGGGTGAGGCTGCCCACTGAGCTTTCCCCTCGCATGACCCTCATCGTTCCTGGGTTCTTCTACTGTAGAGCAAGGTATATGAGTGGTTCTACAGCTAAGCTAGAGTGCCACTGTCTGTTTTAAGTATTTCGTTTGTGTTTTTAAAAACCTCTACAGCCCCTCCCTTCCTATCTCTCTTTCTCTCTTTCAGTCTCAAATGGACCAGACTTTTTTTTTTTTTTTTTCTGATTGCTTGATGCTTTGGCTTTGGAAAGCCTGCATGTATGTATGTAAGTGCACCCATGTCATGCAATGCCCACAGAGGTCAGAAGAAGGCATCAGATCCCCTGGAGTGACAGATGGTTGTTAGCTGCCATGTGGGTGCTGGGAACTGAAGGCAGGTCCTCTGCAAGAGCAGCCAGTGCTCTTAACTGCTGAACCATCTCTCCAGCCCCCTGCCTTAGCAATTTTGGACCCTATACATCGGTTCATCCCCCCTCCCCCCAAAAAACTTAGATATTGGACCAAAAAGTATATAAAATCTATAGATTGATTTAGGGATAATTGATACTTCATAGTTGATAAAAGTCCATGAACATAATAGATATACCTACATATAATTAGACAATTTTGAATTCCAGCAGTACTTGGGTTTTGGTTGTTTAACTTTTAGTGCAATTATGTATATTGCACACATTTGTGCTATGTATACATGTGGGGTCTAAATTGGCCCTCTCCTTCCACCATGTGGGTTCTGGAATCAGACTCTGCTCATCATGTTTGGGAACATGGTGTTTTACCCGCTGAGCCATATTGCTGGCTCCTCAGTAAAACCTTTTAATAGTTACTTCATTAGGGTATAATTTCCACGTTATATGGTTGCCCTTTAAAATATACGTACCTTGGGGCTGGAAAGATAGCTTAGCAGTTAAGCACACTGACTGCTCCTGCAGAAGACCTGGGCTCGAAATCCCAGTACCCACGTGGTGGCTAACCATCCGTAACTCCACTTCCAGGGGATCCAGTACCCTCTTCTGACCTCTGTGGCCACTGTACAACATAGGTACACTTAGATATATGCAGACATAATACTCATACGCATTAAATAAATAAGTAATTAATAAATAAATAGAAAGTTTTAAATATTTTAAGTAAATAATAAAGTATACATACCCATCATTTAAGCCTTTTCCACATCTATTTTGGGTGTGTGTGCACACGTGTAGAAGTCACAGAACAACTGCAGGAATCAGCTCTCTCTCCACCATGTTGGTCCTGGGGATCAAACTGGGGTCTTTACACTTGACTGCAAGTGCTCTTACCCACTGAGCAACCTTGCTCACCTTCATGTTTTTAAATATACTTGCAAAATGATATGAACTAATTCCAAAACACTTTAAAAATCTTCCCAGAAACAGCTCTGTACCCTTCAGCAGTCATCCTCCATTTCCCCTTCACTTGGCAGCCACTAATCTGCCTTGTGTCACAATGGTTTGGCCTTTTCTAAAGTTTTTTTTTGGGGGGGGGTGTTTTTTTGAGACAGGGTCTCCCTGTAGCCCCAGTTGGCCTGGAACTCACTATGTAGACCGGGCTGGCCTTGAACTCAGAGATCCGCCTGCCTCTGCCTCCCAAGTGCTGGGATTAAAGGTGTGTGCTACTATGCCTGGCTCTAAATATTTTTTATAAATGAAACAATACAGTAGGTAGTTAGGTTAGCTGTGACTGACTTCAATTAACATATTTTACTTTTATTAGTGCTCTGTGTGTGACAGTTGCATATGCCACAGTGCTTGTGTGGAGGTTAGAGAGGACAACTAACTTGGTTAGTTGTGGACTTGGTTCTCTCTTTCTACGTTACATGGGTTTGAGGGGACCAAACTCTAGGTTGCCAGGCTTGTGCAGAAGCCTGCTTACCAGCCTTAGGATATTTTTTAGTTATTTTAAATTGCAGTTTGGGGGGCTGGAGAGATGGCTCAGCAGTTAAGAGCACTGGATGCTCTTGCAAAGGACCCAGGTTCGGTTCCCAGGACCCATTTGGCAGCTAACAACCAACTATAACTTTATTTCCAGGCAATTCAACAGTCTCTTCTGGGCTCTGTGGGCACTGCACAACATGGGTGCACTTAGATAAATGCACTCAAAACAGTCATACATATAAAATTAAAAAATAAATAAAATACTTAAATTATATTTTTTAATGCGTGTATTTGTATGCGTGTATTGTCTGCATGTAGGTAAGTGCACCCATGTTGCACAATGCCTGCTGAGGACAGAAGAGGCTATTGGATCCCCTGGAACTGGAGTTACAGACAGTTGTTAGCTGCCATGTAGGTGCTGGGATTTGAACCTGGGTCTTTTCAAAGACCAGCCAGTGTTCTTAACCACTGAGCCATCTCTCCAGCCCCTAAATTCCTTCTTTTTTTTTTTTTTTTTTTTTTTGGTCTTTTTGAGACAGGGTCTCTCCCTGTAGCCCCAGCAGCCCTGGAACCACTATGTAGACCAGGCTGGCCTTGAACTCACAGAGATCCACCTGCCTCTGCCTCCCGAGAGCTGGGATTAAAGGCGTGCACCACCAGGCCTGGCTCCTAAATTACATGTTTAAAGCCAGGCGTGGTGGTGCACTCTTTTAATCCCAGCACCAGGGAGGCAGAGGCAGACGAAACCCTGAGAGGTAGAGGTTAGTCTGGTCTACATAGCGAGTTCAGGCCAGCTGGGGCTACAGGGAGACCCTGCTTCAAAAAAATAACAAAAATAGAATACATTTTCATTTATTTTCGTGGGGAGCGAAGTGAGTGCAGATGCCATGGTGTGCATGTGGGGCAGGACGACTTGTGGGAATCATGTCTCCTACCACAGCTCTTGCGCTGTTGGGAGGACTGACCTCTCCCTAATGGATGTTGTGTGGCCGTTTTGAAAAACGATTAGGAGCTTAGTCTAGACTCCATTCGCCGTGTGTCTGTAGGTGCCTGTTCTTGCTGCAGTGGTGCCGTCTTCCTGTAGTTCTGTAGCTTTTATTGGGAGATGCAGGTTCTCCAGTTTTCCTCCTTTTCATGTTTTGGTCACTTCAGGTACCCAGCACTTCTATTTGAATTTTAGGGTCAACTTTTTGGTGTCTGAAAAAGCAGCTGGAGTTTTCATCTTGAGTCCCTTCAGTCTGTAGGTTGCGTTGGGGAGCATGAACGTGGATGTCTTTTCATTTGTTTCGCTCTTTAATTCTTTTCAATTAAATTTTATAGTTACCACTCTAGAAGCTGGATACGTCTTCATTCAGTTTACTCCTAAATATTTTAGCCTTCTGGATGCTGTTGTGAAATAGAATCTTCATTTTCAGATCATTCTCTGTGAAAGTGCAGTGCCGTTGATTGCTGTATGTTGATCTGATACCTGCAGCCTTTGCTGGACTGACTTCACTAGTGTTTTAGTGGGTGTGGATTCTTTTGGATTTCAGCATACAAGGACCTTCTGTGATTTTTCACTCATTCCTGATGAGTCTGAATGCTTTGTGTTGCACTTTCTTAACAAATTATACTGATTCCAGAACGGTGTTGAAGTGTTGAATAAAAAGGAAAAAGCAGACCTTGTCCTGTTCTTGCTTGACCTTTAACTATTGAGCATGATGTTCATGATGAGCTTCATCAGGATGAACAAGCGAATTTCCTGCTGTTCCCGCTGTGTGTCTGGGGCGGGGGCTATGGGAGGGTAGGTAGGGTTTGGTTAGTTGTCTTTTGTTTGTTTCTCTTCCTCCTCGTGCGTACCAGAGCCTTACAGGGGTACAAGGCAAGTACTGTGCCACTGAGCTCCAACCTGTCACATTTTATCATGAAACTATAGGAAGTATATTCAGTTTTGTTCATCAGAGTGGGTTTGGGTTTGGGTTTGGGTTTGGGTTTGGGGTTTTCCCCCATATATGTTAAGGTCATGTGGTTTTTGTCCTTGTTGATATTAAAGGTTACATTGATTGCCTTTCAGACCTTAAACCCACAGTACATCCCAGAGATAAACCCACTTGCTGGTTATGTGTAGAATCCTTTGTGTATGTTGCCAGATTTGGTTTGTTAGTATTTCATTGAAGACTTTGGTGTCTCTATTCTAGAGTATTGGCCTGTTGGTTGGTTATCAGGGAAATACCTGGTGTTCCCTCTTTTTCTGTTGTACAGTCCTTGGAGGCAATATTTTGTGAGATTATATAGGAATCTTGTTTTTCCTTAGACTTATCAAATATTTTTAGCCAATTCTATATGCTACTATATTTCCTTATGTTTATGTTATACCAAAATGTCTTTGTCTTCAGAAACTATCCTACTTGATTCATTCTAAAGTTTATACTCAAATACACAATTATCCACAACTATTATGCCTCCTCTTTTCCTTGTTGTATTCCACTAGCTAGGGTAACACTATAATATAAATAATATAATATAATATATAGAAGAAATAAGACTTAGACCTCCCCATCATAGATGGGAGAGCTTTCAATAAGAATATTTTGGAGCTGGGAGTATAGCTTAGTGATGAGAGTGCTTGCTTAGCATGTGCAAAGCCCTGGATTTGATCTCCAGTACCTCACAAAAAATAATAATAATAAAGAATATTTTTGTGGATCAGCTTTTACTCTGTTGTGGAGTGGAAGTTTTCTTCTGTCCTTTCAGTTGGTGGGAGTTTTTGTCAGGACTGTATGTAGCATTTTAAGAATTTTTTTTCTGTGTAGCTATTTAATCATAGAAAATCTGTGTGTGTGTGTGTGTGTGTGTGTGTGTGTGTGTGCGCGCATGTCTGTGCAGTGTAGGCACATGGGAGCGGGGTACACAGACTAGAGGAGGGTGTTGGGTGTCCTGCTCTATTGCTTTCTGCCCTATTCCCTTCCAAAAAGGTCTCTTACTGAACCTGGAGTTAGGCTGGCAGCCAGCAAGCACTAGTGATCCTCCTGTCTCCACCTACCACAGTGCTAGGGTTACAAGCATGTTCTCCATGCTTGAGTTTTTCATATGGGTTCTAGATATTCAGACTCAGGCCCTCATGCTTGTGCAACAAGCACTCTTGCCCACTGAGCCCTCTCCCAGCCCTCTCTTAATGTGCTGAATTACATCGATTTTCAGGTGTAGAATTACTCTTTGATTTCTGGCACACTCTCAAGTTAGTGATGATAAAGCACCACCTCTACTGGGTTGGCTTTTAAATATTCAGTAAGATTTTTCCATCCATGTTCATATTTAAAATCAGCCTACTGTTAGCTTCCTTTTCTCCCTATCCTCGTCAGTTATGCTAGCCTTGTAAAAATCTGTTAGATGTGTCCCTTGTATAATATAGTTATTTGTCCTTCAAATCATCAGTGAAGTTATCTTTAGAGGAAGGCTAGCTGTAGATCCACTCTCAAGATGGTGGTATGTAGATTCTCTACTTCTTAATCTCTCTCTCAGTAACTTGTGCTTTTCAAGTATTTTGCCTTTTTTTCTTCTGTCAGAATCATCATTTGAGAGCTCTGGTACAGCTGGTGGTAGAGCACCTACCCAGAACGTGAGGCCCTGGGTGCAGTCCTCACCCTGTAAAGAGACTTAAAAATAAATGAAGGTCTTTCTTGATTTTCTTAGTAGCATCAGTTCTGTATTGTATCATTGATTTCTGTTCCCATCTCGTGCTTCATGCTTTCTGCTTTACCTTCTTGAGGTGGATCTCAGATCATTGATCATCTCTCCTTGTGACTCCCCTTCAGTTCAGGGCATACTCCTCCCTCAGCACTGCTCTGGCTGGACTCCAACAAGTTTTTTTTTACATTACTCAGTTCAGAGTGTTTTATAATTGTGACTGCTTTGAACCATGAATTTTTTAAGTGCATTATTTAATTGAGTAAATGTTTGGTCATTTCCTGGTTTTCATTCTGTTATTGATTTCTAACAATTCTACTGTGATTAAAAAGTGTTGGCTGGGCGTGGTGGTGCACACCTTTAATCCCAGCACTTGGGAGGCAGAGGCAGGTGGATCTTTGTGAGTTCGAGGCCAGCCTGATCTACACAGTGAGTTCCAGGACAGCTGGGGCTACAGGGAGACCCTGTCTCAAAAAGACAAAAAATAAAAATAAGTATTTTCCAAGTTATTTCACTTCCATGAAATTTGCCAGTGCCTTCATTTCAGTGCAACCTGTATCCAGTTTTGGTAAATGCTGCTTTTATACCTCAGAAGAAGGTATATTTTGCATTTATTATGAAGTCATAGTCATTCTGTCCCATATTTTAATCTTCCTCTGACTACTGTCTTCTCCAACACACTTGTGTTTTTAATCTGCACTCTCTTAATCCCTCTGTAACCTTTGTAAGTTTTCTGTAACACTTTTTTTTTTTTTTTGAGGCAGGGTCTCCCAGTAGCCCCAGCTGGCCTGGAACTCACTATATAGACCAGGCTAGCATTGAACTCACAGAGATCTGCCTGCCTCTGCCTCCCTCCTGAAATCAAAGGCATGCGCCACCACGCCCAATTCACTTCTATGTTGTATTTCTATCTCTCATCTTTACAAATCACTGTTGAATGTTCCTTAATAAATACCTTTTTCCTATTCTGCCCCCCTTCAGCCTGCTTTCAAAATGTTCCTTGTTTTTCTTTTCCTATCTTTTGAAAAAAATGTAATTTTTCATGTGTATGAGTGTTATGCCTGCATGTATCTGTGAGTACTGTGTGTGTGCCTGCTGCCCATGGAGGCCAGAAGAAGGCATCAGATTCCTTGAAATTAGAGTGGTGGTTGTGAGCTGCTGTGTGGGTACTGGGAACCAAACCAGGGAGCAGCAAGTATCCGTAACTGTGGAGCCACCTCATTAGCCCCTGAGTACCATTTTTTAAAGGTTTTTTAAAAGAAAGGTTAATTTTATTATTCCAAAGAGAGGCAATTTTAACACATTTTTCCAGAAATAACTTGAAGCAGGTTACATAAAAATATATATACAATGAAGTTTAAGCAGGGAGAAACAGGAATAAGAAATCAAAGACCAAAGGATTTTCCAGCACGAGGTCAACTTTGGTAGAATAATGAAGATTTCCATTCTTTTTTTTTTTTTTTTTTGAAAATCCTAATGAGTTTGGGCTTGCTAACAGAGCATAGGGTGGGGGTTTATTTACAGAGGAGTGGGTGCCCCCCCCCCATTTATGGCTGGCCGGAATGTCCACACTCAAATATAGATCCTGTGACTTCCCAACAACTGCAGAAAATGGTGAGAGAGGTGCTTCATGGCGTTCTCAGCTTATATATCCTTAACCCCTCCCCCCCGACACACACAGCTAAGGTTGATGGATTGGGTGGGATGGGTAACTGACTCCCCCATCAACTCCTTGAGTCCTGGGAAGGAGGTGTGACTGTAGCTTGCCAGCATAGTGGTCAGAGGACATTTCCAATCAACACTCCACCCCTTCCTCCAGCTCTTACATTCTTTCTGCCAACCTCTTCTGCAAAAGTCCCTGAGCCTTGGAGGGGGTGATAGGTGTGGGATGGTCTTCCTCTTATTGTGGCAAGGCACTGAACTTTTGGGTCTCTGCATCATCTGTTTTCCATGGGCTGTTGAACTACTTCAGTGGGTTTCCACATATACCACATGCAGGCTGGATCCAGGCATTCTCAGGTCTGCTGAGGTCTCAGCTCCTAAACCCAGCAGAGGCCAGATCTGGCACTCTCAGGCTGTCTGCTGAGTTTTCAGCCCGTACACCAGGCAGAGGCCAGATCAAGCAGTCTCAGGCCTTCTCTGAGTACCATTTTTAATTCTTGAAACTCTTTAAAAATTTCTGCCTTATCTCTTTTCTATTTTTCAATAGTACCTTTTTTTTTAATTCAGTACTTTCAGTTTATTGTATTCAGATTACTAGGTTTTATGATTGGTTAACCTAGTTCAGAGTAAGATATCACATACAAGGTTTGCCTAAGTTTGGGGACTTGTAACTTTTCCTGTCAGGATACTTTTGTGTATAAAGATTTATTACTTGCTGGGCTGGAGAGATGGCTCAGTGGTTAAGAGCACTGACTGCTCTTGCAGAGGACCCAGGTTCGATTCCCAGCACCCACATGGTGGTTAACAACCATCTATAGCTCCAGTTTCGGGGAATCTGACACCTTCTTCTGACCTCTGCAGGCATTGCACAACATGGGTACACTTACACACATGCAGGCAATACACTCATACACGTAAAATAAAAATAATAAAGTATTTTTTTAAGGATTATTACTTGCATTTTCTTATGAAGGAACTAATAACTTTTTTTCATTTCAGAAAATGGTGTTAATGGAACAGTCACATCAAATGGAGCAGACTCTCCCCGTAATAGGAAAGACAAATCTTCATAATGAATTACAAACTACGATGTCCCCAAAGAATCTTCTTTTTACTATATCTTTCAGCACTAGAGATTTTTCTGTTCTTGAACCTGAGTTGATGCTTTTTGATTTCTGCTGTTGTACTGTTCCTGCATCTTTAAAGGGCATTTGAGGGGAAGGTAATTACTATGAGTGAGAAAGTATTTTAGCTTTGACTAAGCTACCTGCCTTCAAAATAGTTTAGGGACCACCACATATTTTATTTTGCTTTTATCTTTGAACATTTTTCTAATGGTTTTGGGGGAAAAAAAAAACATTTACAAACACCCCCCCAGAACCAGTGAAGTTTTCTTGCTCTCGCCCAGTTTTTATATTGGCAGGTGACCTGTTCTAAGAAGGTCACATTTTTTTAAGTTATCTTTCAGGGTAAAATGGAAATACTATAAAGTCAGATGTCAAACTTTTAATGTTTTCAGTGTTCTCAGTAATTTTTAGAAATTTTTTTGTAGTCTTTACACCTGGAAAAAAAAATTTGTAAAATCACCACAGTAATTGTGTACTTTATGTTATAAGTAGTGGTTGTAGGTGTTACACCCCATTAAAAAAGTACTAATAGTGTGAAAATTTATTGCCATATATTGGATCAAAATGTCTTACTAGCATAAAAGTACTTAGGAAGTGAAGTCTTTTCTTGTGCATTTTCCACATTTATAAACTGGCAGTCAGAAAATGTTTACTGTGAGGAGGAATATCCAACTTACATAGCCCTTTTTTATATGTTTAGTAATAATTCTTTATGGGGCTTGTCATAAGTTTGATATGCATAGCATGTTAAAGAAATACCGTTTAACCTGCAAACCCTTTTAAGAAATAATGCCTATTCATTTATATCTATAAAAAAGATGTCAGGTAATTATATTTGGAAAACCAATGCACTAACTTTAAAGAAATTGAAAATTCAGGTGGATAGTCTTGACAAAAGACAATGCTTTATGTTATACTGTGGCTTTGGACCCATCTTTAATTGAGAAACATTTATCTGTATAAAACATATTTTTGGATAAATATATATATATATATTTGTATCTACAGAAAGGCTCTGCAAAGCATTTGAGTAAAACGCCTGGTTCCCTTTTCTATTTTTACCCTTAGAACCCGTACATTTGGTTTGTTTGTTGTCGTTGCAGTGCACACAGTGCTCCTTAGTGTCCATGTTTTGTCCCCATTTCTTCTGTCACCAGCTAATGTGTTTGTGCCATTTTGAATACGAGAGTCTCAGACCTTCCTGGTCTGGCTCCAGCTGCCGTGCTGCTAGGAAGTTGTGCTTTCTCTTTCCAGCTGTTCACCTACTTCCTGGAAAGTAGTAGCTCTCTGTAGCATTATGAACTTTCAGTGGAACCAAATTTTTGCCATTAAAAACTGGCATTACATTGAACTATACACTGAGAAATCAAAATAAAAATTTTTACTTTCACAAGCTGCTTCCTGGACGATTCCTTCATTGTTATATTTATGCTACTTTAGTATAGAACCTCACTAACATTTACTATTTTGAAAGACGGTTAGTTCCATGGAATACTTATGAAGGGCACTAGTGGGGAAATGGTTTGTAACCAGATAAATGCAGACGACACTGGGTAAAGGTCTATCTCTACTAAAGGGCTGTTCTGTCCTTCATTTACAAATACATTTCCTGGTACCCAAGGATTGTTGGCAGTAGGACCAGAAAAAAAAGCATTGCTTCCCACCGCATTTGACTGGAATCTTTTTGTTGAATTATATGCAGATACAGATATGCGTTCCATATCATGGACTGTGAATTTTAGGAAAGAATAAAGGGGACTTATAGCAGTTTTCTTTCTGTTGTTGTGATGAACCCCATGATTAAAGGCAACTTGGGGAGGGTTTATTTTGTCTTACAACTCCGAAGTCAGTCCAACTTCGCGCTAAGTCAAGGCAAGACCTGGAGACTGGAACTGAAGCAGAGATCGTGCAGGAAGGCTGCTTACTGGATTGTTTGTTCCCCTGGCCTAACTGGCTACTTAGCCTAGGCCCACCTACCCGGGGATGGCACCACCCACAGTGGACTGGGCCCTCCCACTTTAGCAGTTAAGAAAATGTTTCACAGACATGACCGCAGGCCAGTCTGAAGGGAATTACTCAGCTGAGGTTCTCTTTTCCCAGGAGTGTCAAGTTGACAACTAAAGCTAACCAGCACAGGATCCTTAGTTTGTGATCAGCACTTTATAAAACATGTATAGACAGTGCAGAGTAGGACAGTGCTGTTTGCTTCTAGGTTCTGAGTGGCAGTGAGCTACCCATTCTGGTGTTTACTCTTTCTCCCTAAAATACTTTCTTGCCTGCATTTAGAATATAATTGGGGATAGTCCAAGTGTACTATTCTGGAATGAAGATACTAACCACATTCCTCTCACCTAAGCAGTCACAAAAAGTCCTGAACTCATTGTGGAGGAAAGCTTGTGAAGGAAATGGAATCTGTTGCAAAGATGTGATTTACAAGAGCCCACTAAAACTGTATCCCTGTGGTATTGCTAGACATTTCCACTGAAATACTGTCCTGATAATTGTCTACAAATGGACAACAGTGAGCACAGCTTTTTTAGAAGACCAAGAACATTGACCACCTGTTTGCATTTTGAGGCGAGTGGTTTAAGAAGTAACCCCAGAGAAAATTCTAGGATATGCTTAAACAGATGTTGAAGCGGGAACACATTGGCATACAGCCCATTCCACTAGATAAAAAGGGGAGGAAACAACAGCTTTGTGAGACTGGTTCCTAGAAAAGCTGTCAGCCATTTACAGAACGCCGTACACCTGCACAACAGCTCCTGGCACACAATGGAGAACTTGGTATTTATAAAGGCAAACCAGTTCTGTGTTTGTCCAAGCATGGCTTGCTTTACAAAAGCTTGTACCAATAGCTAAATGACACATTAACAGGTTGTTGAATACTATTTGGGAAAAGGCTAAGCCAGTTTGTCTGGCTTAACTGTCGAGTGAAAAGATTATTAATATGTTTATCCAAGCTGAAACCAAAATTTGTGTGTCATGAAAGCAAATAAAAAAAATTTTAAGAGGCTTAGTTCCCTGACATCCCATGACCATTAGTAACTTATGAACACCAAAAAAAAAAAAAAAAAAAAAAAAAAAAAAGTACTATTTTCAAGATCTAAAATTCAAGTTAAGTGATAAATGACCTCCTTGGTTTTAGCTATCGTTAATACTTACAGAGTGCTAAGACTGGCTAGCCACCATTCAAGCCTTGACTCCACTAGTCCTGAAAATAAATGTCCGACACAGTTTCCAGTGCTAAGTATAATCCCTAACTTACAATTTTTCAACTTTCTGATGGCTCCAAGCTTATCCATACAACTATTTATTCTTTCCAGCACAGTAGTCAGTAAAGTTACATGAGGTATTCAGCACTTTATTATAATAAACAGGTCTTATATTAGGTGATTTTGCCCAACTGTAGACTGATGTGTTCTCAGCACATGGGCTGTGCTGTGATGTCTGTTAAGTTAGAGGTATTAAAATATGTTTTGCATGTAATAGATTTCCAGCTTTCCATGGGCACATTGGGATGCAATGCTGTACGTTGAGGATCAACAGTAATACCACCCACCCCTCAAGGTGATCCTGAGAACTAACATCCTGTACATAAAAGGGTAGCTCTGTGCCTCATGCCCATAGTTTTGCAACAGGTTGTGACTAATATAGTAGAAATGGTGAGCTGTTACTATTCCTGTTTGAGACTTTATAACTTTGTTGAGCATCCGTTCTTTGCTGTACAAGTACAGGGTTCCATGGTGGCCATTCTTGAGCCAGTCAGCCAGTAGAATCACCAGTGTCCCAGCCAGCAGTTACACTGCCTTACAGGAGCACTGCAGCCAAGCTTAACCAGCACAAGCGTTCATACACACTAAGTCTTGTGAATCTTTTACACTTTTGTGACATGATAATCATCAAAGTAAGTCCCACATATGGAGTCTAAATATGTTAAAATTAAGCATATAGTCTATAAGGTTATCTTTGCATCAGATGGTTTATGAAATGTCCAGAGAATTTGCTGCTTGGAGTTGCCATGCCTTCTGACAAGAATTGAACTCCAGGTAAGTGAGTGCATTGCATCATATTACGACTTAGTAAGTCTGAGCTAATTGTGTAAAATATAGAAATTAGATTTCAGCACATGGGCTAGAGGACTGGATGTGCAGTTTTGTAGGCTATGCATATTAATGCAGGGTCATTCATAGTGAGGCAAAATCTGAAGACCAAGCTCCTTACCCTGTTGTACTGGACTAAGCTTATTTTTTCCTTCATCTAATATGAAAAACTAATAAAATTCCTTATGTGAATCATTAGAATGCAATTTAAGTGCTAGGCATGTAGCTCAGTGACTGATCATTTGTCTAGCTTATACAAGGCCCAGCACCAGAAAAATAATATTTAATTTAATTAATTTAGTTCCTTAATGAGCTCAAGAGCAAATGAAGTAGTCCTTTTATATTTCTTGCTGACGGTTCAAAACAAAAAGAATAATTACTTGTAACTTAAATCAGAAGGCAGAGTATCTATTGCATATACTAAATACAAGAAATGTGGAAAGTAGGGGGTTTTTCTCTTTTTTTTTTTTTTTTTTTTGGTCTTTTTGAGATGGTCTTCCTGTAGCCCCAGCTGGCCTGAATTCTCTATGTAGACCAGGCTGGCCTTGAACTCACAGAGATCTGCCTGTCTCTGCCTTCCAAGTGCCGCAATTAAAGGCATGTGCCACCAAGGCCAGCTGAAAAGTAGGATTTCTAAAGAATGAATTTAACTGGAGGACTGAGGACTAGGAGACTACCAGGAATATATCAGAGTAATTGTTGACTTACCTATTTTTTGAAAATGCAAAAAGCTTAAAAAAGAAAATGTCCCGCTGGGTTGAACTTCATGTTCAGAGAACTTCCACAGCTCTGCCATCATCGGTCATGCTTGGTGGACAGACAGCCCAGTGCAAACCTAGGAGGAATTTCTTTGTTGGTATGGTATGGTGGGTCAACTCGTCTCCGTGTAGAAACACTGGTACAAAGGAAAGCGTAAAGACAGGACACAGCCACTTCACAAAAGATCTTCTGAAGTAAGAAGTACTCTGCAGCGACTCCCCGTCTATAGACTGCTTCTCTAAACATCGGCCATCACAAGCCATCTTATTCTGTTGCCCTGCATCTCAATTTTGCACGGCCTGTGGATTTTTTTTTTTAAATGAACATTAAAACAATAAAGAACTTAAGGCAAAGCCCATCTCGTGGACTTCAGGTTTAAGTGATCACTGTTCTCCATGTTTGGCTGTGTTTTGATGAGCGCCAGCACTGTAATTACAGTCCAGCATCTCTTGTTCAGCAGACGATGCTAATCATGTCCCATTATCTATTGCTGTAGAGTGAGTGCCCATAAGGGCTCCTGCAATCATCAGCCTCATTTTCCGCTCCCGCTCCATCCACGTCAGCACTCCAGGCTCAGAGGTAAGAGCAGCTGTATTCACTGTACTCATTAACCCAGCCGCCCTTGACATCTGTGCCTTTATTTTCCCCTAATGTCACAAATTCTCTCCTTTCAGCCTGGGATTTTTTTTAATTGATTACCTCAGCTGTTTCTTAGGCAGGATCTGCTTTTCATCTGAAATCATGTTCATGTCACACTTGAGAAGCACAATTCCAGAGAGAGGACCGGCACCTTGTAAGAACTCAGACAACAGCATGGCCAGATAGGAAGCCAAGTAGAAAGTCGCTCCAAAGCTCAACTCACTGATCTAAAAGTTGAGCTTTAAGAGCATTGGAAATTAGTTTCTGCCTGACATTTCCAATTGCACTTATGCATTTTCTAATTTATTTTTATTTTATGTTTATGAGTGTATTGCCTGCATGTGTGTAAGTGCACCCATGTTGTTCAATGCCCATGGAGGTCAGAAGGTGTTGGATCCCCTGGAACTGGAGTTACAGATGGTTTTTAGTTGCCATGTAGTTGCTGGGAATCAAACCTGGGTCCTCTGCAAGAGCAGTCAGTGTTCTTAACTGCTGAGCCATCTCTCCAGCCCCCCATATGCATTTTTTTTCAAGAGAGAGAATCTTGCTATGTAACTAATGCTAGCCTCTAAAACTTTCCATCTACCTGCCTCAGCTCCCTGAAAGCTAGGGTTACAGTTGTGCATCACCATCCCTGGGTAGGATGTTTATACTAAATTCTCATTTCAGAGCTTAGTGGAAATGGATTCTGGTCCTGTTATACTGGGTGCCCTTGAGTGCTGAAAGTGTCATTCTTATCCAGACAAACTCTGTATCTTTTCTAGTACTCACCTTGCATCTGAAAAGGAAGAAGCAGGAAGGGATATTTATTTTCATATCCTGTTGCATTATATAAGACCAACCTCCCCTATCTCAGAATCACCAAAATATCAACCCAATCTTTATCCACAAT